CCATGGTGGAGCAGAGACCTGCCTGTAGCCCGGGGAGGATCCCACACTGGAGCAGGGGGCTGCCCGAAGGAGTCTGTAACCCTGTGGGCAGCCCACACTGGAGCAGGCTCCTGGCAGGAACTGTGGCCCCATGGAGGGAGGAGCCCAGGCTGGAGCAGGTTTGCTGGCAGGACTGGTGACACCCATGGGGGACCCAGGCTGAGCCCCCATTCCCTCTGCTGCTCAGGGGGTAGGTGGTAGAGAAATTAGGAACAGAACTGAGCCCAGGAAGAAGGGAGGGGGAAGGTTTTTGAGAAGGTTTTGTCTCTCATTATCCTGCTCTGATTTGATTGATAACAAATTAAACTAACTTCTCCAAGTCGAGTCTGTTTTGCCTATGATGGTAATCACTGAATGATCTCTCCCCATCCTTGTCTTGACCCACAAGCTTTCCCTTACATTTTCTCTCCCCTGCCCAGCTGAGGAGGGCAGTGATGGAGCAGCTTTGGAGGGCACCTGCCCTGCATCCGGGGTCAGCCCACTAGAAATACCACCTGCATTCAGCCAAACTTTCAGAACAAAGACAGACAACCTTCAATATATCTGATCTTCACAGACTTAATTGCAACCAAGTATTTCCCATAGCTCTTACAAGGAAATGGGGCGCTACCTTCCTTCTGAAGTGCCTATTTACATTAGACCCTTGCATCTTAATGAATTTTAACCATTTATCTTAAATAAAACCGTAAATCACAAGAATTAGTATCTTTGACACTAGAATACTTTTCAGATGATGAGAGTAATGAAAGCCTGGATGATCTGATGGATCAGGGGGAAAAAAGCCATCTCCATGAGCCCCTGCTTGAAGGAAAAAACCAAAACCAAACAATCTTCCTCCTGCATATCACGGCACGAAAGCCAATTTCTCCTTCACACTAATTGCTAACGCTGTAGTTAGCAGCAGCGGCTCAACCTAAAGAGGACAGATTTAAATCTCTCCCCAAACCTGCCGAGAAACATCTGGCTTTTGAACAGCAAAGTTACTGTACAAGTGAGAGCAACTACAATGGCGTTAAAGCGTTTGCAAACATTTAACAAACGGAGTTACTAGGAAGCAAGAAGTAATTTAGGTGGAAGCAAAGAAGAAGGGAAACAGGGAAGAAACCATCTGCCTGGTTTTCAGCTTACTGTTCCCTTGGGGCAGCAATTAGAAAGTTTCCAGTTACAAGACAAATTTACTGTAGCACCAGCGGAAACTGATTTCCCGTTGACCCCAGCATTCTCTGTTTCTGGGAGATAACATAATCTCCTTAATAGCGTTCCATGCCACGCATCACTCTTTCTAGTAAACTGTCAGATTTAGTGCCTTCCCACACCTCATCCCACCAAAAAGGCAGTTAAGAAAGCCCCAAAAAGAGCCAAACTACAAGCCTTTCACTAATAACAGAAATTTGGAAGTATTTTACAAAGTACGACATCCCTCCACAGGCAAGGATATTACCTACTGACATCCCTAAAAGAGCATTACTTTATGGAAAACAAAGGCAGTCATGCACGCGGCACTGCTTGATAATGAACCCGCATCTACGGATAATCCAAACAAAGGCGAGGGATTCCTCCCAACATTTGTCAAGGCGCAGAGTCTTTGATGCCTGTTCTTTTTGTTCACTCAGCTGTCAGATTATATGTTCTTCTTCAGGTTTAAATAGTGTGGTTTCTCTTCTTTTTTTCCCTGTTGTTCAGGCCTTCCACTGATATTCGTTGTTACTTTTAAAAGGTGTGACACGGCTCACCACGCAACATCAGTCGGCAATTTACACTGATAGGATGAGAATTCTACTTACACCAGTCTTTGCTAAGGGATATCGTCAACAAAACCAGGTGGAGTGGTTTCAGAAGATTATTTTATTATTTAGAATACCGCAGGAATTTTTCTGTGGAATTTATAAACACCAGAACACGAGCTGAGTGCATAATGTACTCACAAAAAGTGCATTCAAAGCATCCTGCTTTTCTCTCCATTGGTTGTCTGCAGTAAATTGTATTTTTCCTGGGTGTATTTCCTACAGAATGGCTACAAACCCCAAAGCCTATATTCTTCATTAGCAGTTTGTTTCAGGTATTTGACATCATTTATTTTCATATTCTTTATTGACCTACCATTCTTTGCTGGCAATACATTGGTGAAAGTCAGCTAGACGGTGCATAGGAAGCAGACACCAAGAGGACTGATGGCCAGGGAGAGCACACAGGCCTGTGGTTCTCTGGGCCTCCTTTAGTTTAAGGACTGATTTGCGTCTAGTTCAGCTAATGTCAAAAGCCTGTCTTGCTATTCAAAGGGTCTGTCACAACCTAGACTGATTTTTTGTGACAGAATAAATAAAATCAAGAGGATTACTGTATTTCCACATATACAATGCATGGATTAGCTTTTAAAAAGGAAACTTTGGTTCAGAAACAGAGCAGCTGTACACCCAAGCGAGTAATACTTGCACAGCTGACGGCAGCACTCCTTCACTGCTCGACACCTCTTCACACATCAGCCTTCTCCTCCAACAAGCTCACTGGCCGCGATCCCATGGCTGCCTCTGGTGCCGCAGCACCAACCCCCGGCCAACTCTTCCTGTTCGGCCAGCTTCTACACCCAATTCTGTGCAAAATGCTGTGGGGGTAAG